AAGATATGATGGGGGATATTCAGGTCCTTGTTTATAACTGATCAAGTCTTGAGCACTTTTACCTTGGGAAAATAGGTGAGTACGGACGAATTTATTACCTCCTCATTTTCAGTATAAGTGGCAGAGTTTGACCAGTGTAATTTTCTTTTGCAGAGTTTGACGAATTGTTTGCATATCATATGTTACTGCTCAAGTCCAAAAACATATGATGGAATAATTCTTTAGGAAGGGATTTGGAGGATAGCAAGAAGTGAAACAAAAGGTGGGCAACCTCTGTACTATATGAAAGTTATCTTATATCTCAGATTTTTCAAGTTTTTATATATCTTTCAACAAATACCTTCACAATCAGCTCATCGGCGCATAGAGTTTTAGTTGTGATGCAGGCTGGTGGAATTCACACGCACCAAGAATCAGCCCATCGACGCATTTGGAGTTGAGGCTGCTGTATCCTTGATCGAGATGTGAATTCAATTTAAGTCAGAGTGTATATAATATAGGCAAGTACAGTGATGAAGAAGTTGTGAATACAATGCCATTCTCCTCATCTCTTTCACCAATCTTTCAAATGCTACACACTGAGTGGCTCAAATTTTTAAAAGCAGAATAATGGGTGTAATGCCACTTCCATTATTACTATTCAAATTTGTACTGCTTTCTACCAGCATATGCTATTTATTGTAACTTTTACCTACTATATAGCATGGAAAATCAACCAAATATTCTAAGGTCAAAGAAATCTAATGCAATTTATTTCAGCGACTTGTGAAAGAATAAACTATGCAAAAGTACATCAAGTCCAAGCCTAAACAAAAAGGAAGAGATTAGTAATAACAAAATCCTGAATCAAGTTGTACCGTCATATTAAAATTACCAATCGTGCAAAAGTAAATCAATAAAGATAAAGTTATACGATGAGTTATTTTAAGCCTTCTTTCCTTTTCAGGAAAATGGAACCTTGATGCAAATATTAAAGTTTTTATGTTACCTATCACATGTTCGATATATGAAATTAATTAGCAGTAATATTTATATTAGATTATGTTATCTACGCTATGTTTTTGAGATATAACCCTTTTTTAATTTTAAATTCAAAATACTTCATGCGCTATCTCTATTTCTCTTTCATAAAAAGGAAAACCCATTCTTTCTTCCAAGACAGAAAAAGCTACGTGTCAATATAATCAACGTCAAAATGTTAATCTGGTCCACAGGAAAAAGATATACAGTGTTGCGTCATGGGTGTTTTTGTTTGCCAATTCCACTCACAAAACACTACTTTTTTGCCTTTAATATACTCTCTGTCACCATCGCGGATTTTGTCTCGCACGGCTACATCGTTGTCAAGGTTTCCTTCAATCTATAAGCATCACCGTCACCACCCGACGTCGTATAGTGACCCTTCAATACTGTCGATGAACTCAAAGAATCATATAACCAAACCTTGACAAGAGCATATATAAGTAGCAAATACTATAAGAGTACTATTAGAATCTACTATAAGCCATGTGTATTGTTATAGTTTTCTTTATAAATAATTATTTATTTATTTATTTAAATTCAATAAAGTTTAAATAGATCATGTATTGGTTTGTGTGTCCATTTACTTACATAGTAGATGATTTAGTGCATAAAGTTTAGCTTATACACGGAAGATTAAATCATCGGTTCTTGTAAGACATAAAAGTTAATG